CTAGGGGCCCGTCTGGGGGCTTGGGGGGCTGGAGGCTGGGGGGACCAGGGAGGGGACAGTGGCTTGGAAGATGGCAGCAGCCCCGGGCTTCCCCACCCAAAGCCTGAAGCCCATGCCTGCCTGTGCCTCCTCTCCCCTCCTCGATGGGCACCAGGCTGCCTCCTCCCTCCCTTAAGGGTCCAGGAGGGCCCACCAGCCCCCATAAGGGGCAGAGAATGAGAAGGGTCAGGGAGTGTTTCCAGACAGGTACAGGGAAAGTGTGTTTTTCAAATCCACGGCCCCTGTTTCCCCTTCTGTAAAGCTGGGGTGGGCTAAGGCAGGGTCTAGCCTTGCCCAGAAAAGCTGGGTGCTCCAGAGGCCAAATGGGGGCCCCTCCCCTCTGCCAACTCTGGAAGGTTCTAGTTGGCCCAAGGCAGGTGACAGAGGCCAGGAGTGGGAGAGACAGGCCAGGAGAGGTTTCCTCAGGGAGCTGACTGGAGCCTTGAGAAGCGAAGGAGCTGAGCAATGGGCCGGGACTGCATCTGAGCCTCCCTCTTACTCCCTTGGAGCTGTGGAGCAAGGGAAGGACCCCCCTCCCCGCCCCACAATGGCAGCTCGAGTCCCAAAGCCAATCCACTTCAGAAATCTGCTTCCTGCTGAATGCGCCAGGGAGGATCGGGTTTCTGAGCCTCGCGCTTATGAAAAATACAACAAGGAAAATTGGACGTGGCAGACAGGGAGCGATGGAGCTGCGAAGGCGACTGCGAGAGAGCTGGGGTGTTTGCTGGAAGGAGGGGCCTGGGGGCCTGAGCTCCCAAGGGCCGGGGCTCGGCCAGGGTCAGCTGTGGGTGTCCTACGTGCCCATGCCCCCTCTCACTCAGATCAGTACAGGTGACGGGCGGCGGACGCCTGGTGCTGGACGGGCGCCAGGGTGAATGCTAACAAGCAATTCACAGCCTGCACAGGCCTTCCAGAGCGCAGACAGAGGAGGCATCTCTTCTTGAGGAGGGATAAGGAGGCTCAAAAATGCAAATCATTACCGTTTACAACCAAGTGAGTCTGCTAAATTGATTAGGAGAGATTAAACTCCTCGGAGGTGAGGGGAAAGGGGGATTTTTCACATTTCATGAACCTGCCCCCAGTGGCTGTAGGCAAAGCAGAGATTTTCTGGGCCTGGCTCACAGGGAGCTGAGGGTCTCTGAAGGCTGACACCACGCATGCCCCAGCGCTCAGGATACACTTGGCTGGATGCAGCCGGGGCTCGAGCTCCGAGGGGAAGGAGTTCTGCCTCCAATGCGTGCCTGTGTCAGCCTCTGGGACGGGGTCGGGGGTTATGTGGCCCACACAGATCATTCAGAAGCTGTCACAGCGGCCCCCCCGCCCCCAGGCAGGATTCTGCCCCTGCCCTCCAGATCCCATCTGCCTTTGGGTTGAAAAGCCAGGGTAAGTGGCCAGGCCAGTCCCTTAGTGAGGAGGACTCTAAAGCCATGTGCCTTTCTGCTTCCTTTCTGTTCCAGGGTGTGTCTGTCTCTGAGTGGTCCCTGCAGCCAGTGGAAGGGGAGTGGGGCTACTGTAAAGGGAAATCTGAAGGTCAGGAAAGAGAAACTCTGGCCCAGCAAAAAGAAACAGGTAGTGAGCTCTCTGTCACTGGAGCATGCAAGCACTTGATGGGGAGGTGGCAGATATTTTCCTGCCTAAGCCAAGGCTTGGTTCTTTGACTTACTCCATCATCCCTGAGCACCCTGTAAGGAAGATCTCCAGAGATTGCTCAAAACAACCAGTGTCCCCTGAAAATCACAGGTCGGGGCCATCCTACAGCCAGGCCACTCAGCGCCATCAAAGAGCTGCTTGTGTCACCAGGCAGCCTGTAAAATTCCAACCTCAGTGTCCAAGAGGCCCCTGGAGAGGAAGTACAGACACGCGCTGCCCCATCTAGGAGTCTGGACGGGCAAGGGTGCAGAGGGCGACCTACCACCTGCGGGGCCACCTCCCAGGTGCCGCTGCCTCCTGGGTCCATTCTCATGCCAGGCCCCTGTCCCAGTGAGCTCCCTCCACGGTCCCACCAGCTGTCCTCCCAACTCAATTTACTCAGCGCTGACTCCGCTGCTGGCTTAATCCATTCCCAGCCCAGCCAGGTTGACGGCTGCCTGAGGCACTTTTCATTCTACGACTTTAAGCATTTACCATTTCTTTTGAAATGTTCCAAGTAGTTGCCTGAAATACCCACATTTGCTTCTTTAAAAACACTCACAAGAAGATCCCCTTGGGGCTCTTGGCTCCCCCTCCCTTCCTCCCTCCC